TCAAAACTCTTCTTTGGTACTTCTTTATCCAATCTAACAACTCAGTATCCTTTATACATACTAACTTAGACTTCTTTATAATATCTTTGAACGAATTGACGGTTTGGTCAAATTGACCAGAAGTCGAACAAATAACAACTAACTCATAGAATGGGTTCTTCTCATCTAGTTCTTGTTGTTGTGCAGCCATTTTAAGATAAGTGAAAGTCTTACCCGACCCAGGTGGTGCAATTAGACCTGTTATACCATTCTGAGCAAATAAGAACTTGTCATGTATAGGCTTTATCTGAGCATTTTCTAACTTCCTCTTGTTCTTGTTTAAAACATTCTCAAATTTCTTGTCAATGTCAGCAAACTTTTTTTCTAACATATTTTTAGAAAAATTAAAATTTTTATCTTTTAGAAAATGTCTAGCGATTTCGCTATCTATATTCGAGACAAACTTTTTGACAGCAAAACATCTGTCGACCATAAAATCTTACATAGTGTAAACAAGAAAGGTGAATTTGTTCTAAAGTTCTGTTTCTGGGAATATGACAAGAACCATAAAACATTAAGCAGAGCAGTCTTAAAATTTGTCAATGACAGACTTGTTGACAGAGATGACGCCGATTGGAAAGATGAAGTCCAACAAAAATTCTTAGAATGCAAAGAAGACACATGCGCTGTTCTTGAAGATGAAATAGAAAACAGAATAGAAGAGCTATTAAAGGACAAAGAACTTTTACATAAATATGGTTGCGCCAAATTTGACATAACTCCACCAGAAAAGAAGAAGAGAGAAAAGAAAGAAAAGAAAGTAGAAGAAGAGAAGAAAGAACCTGAACCAGTTCCAGAGAAAAAGAAATTTGACATGTAAAAATAAAATTTTATTTTTAGAACATTTCTGGGTCAATGTCAATGTTCTCTTCCTCTTTAGGAGCAAACACTGGCTTAGACTCTAAAATCTTTTACCCAATTTACCTTGAACTTCAACTATCTTAGACTCATAATATTCATAGTCGTCTGTCTTCTTTGGTTCATAAGGTATAACAAGTTTGTATGCTTTGCCTTCTTTAAGGTTTGAAAACCTTCTGTCAAAACTTTCTTTGACTGCTAACAAACCTTCTATGTCTAAGTCTTCAAATTTCGCACCATTTTTAGTCACAATAGCAAACTTAACTGGTTCGATGTTCCAAACTTTGCTGAATGAAGACTTTTCAAAATGGTAGAAGTAAACATTCAAATATGTGAATGGGTCTAGTTCTTCTTTAAGTCCTGACATGTACTTATTTACTGAGATGAATTTCGTCATCTTTTCTATCGGATAAAAAAATATTTTTTTTTAAAATTTACTCAGAAAAATTATTTCTTTCTATATTTGCCATTCCGAACTTCGAAAAGATGTTTTATACCAGCATAGAATTTTTCTCTAGAGCTTGGTCTTATATCGTTTTCATGACAATATTTTCTATATTCTTCATATAAAGCCTTTTTTTCATACATTTCATAAGGACAATCTAACCAGAATAGCGCATATCCATTTTCGTTATCTAGGTCTCTATATGTTTCTTCTGTTTGTAGAATTTCGCTTTCTCTATTTAGTTCTATGTCTATATATTGTGGCTTAAAAAGATGTGGGCAAGAAGGGTCTGGCGCTATGTAAAAAGTTAATTTTTCTGTCATCTTTTCTATCGGATAAAAAAATATTTTTTTTTAAAATTTACTCAGAAAAATTTTTCTTTGTATATACACCATTCTGAACATCTAAAAGACTTTTGACATTTGCCAAGAATGTTCGTTTAGAAGCTGTCATATAACCATATTCTTGACAATATTGTTTATACGAATCGTACAATGACCTTTCATCTAATGACACAAAGTCAGTTTCATCTATGAACAGTTCATATACACTCTTGTTTGCTTCTAACAATGTTTGTCTCTCTTCGGTATGTGGAATTTGTCTTGGATTGAACTTAGAAATATCTAATGTCATGAAATATGAGAACAAGTGGTTGTAAAAGTCAGATGTCAAAGTTTCTGCTAAGTCGTCAAAATATTCTGTATCTTGCATATGAGAATCTGACGTTCTGACAACTACATATCTTCTGTCAGAACTTTCTAACTTCATCGGACACATTGTTTGAAACCATAATGAAGTTTGCAACATTTTCACAAACTCTTTGGTCTTTATATTTTCTTTCAACAACTCCAACTTTGTCTGTTATAAGACTCTTCAAAGCATCTGAGTTCAAAACTTTTGTTGTATCTATACTTTGAAGTTCATTGCAAACTATAAGTTTCATATTCTCTATTGAGGAGTTAAACTTGCCACAGATGTTTTCTAAGTTTGTCATATTCGGGTTCGAATAACCTTCTAACAGTTTGCACAAAATATCTGTAAAGAATGTGTTCTTACCAGTTCCTTGTTTTCCAATTATAATGAGAGCAGTTTCATTTTTAGCACTTGGATGTTGTAAGATGTTTGCAAACCAACATAAGATATACTCATAGACTCTTTCGTTTCCATTGCATATAATTTCTTTGACATGGTCTAACCAAGCTTCTATAATATTTTCTTTCCATTCTACTTGTTCATATTTATATCCAGTGAAGATAGAATAGAAGTTTGGAGATGGTGTATAAAACTTTATACCACGAACTGAAAAATCTTCAAGTTTTGACAATAAGATATCCCAAGCATCTAACATCTTCATGCCAACTTGTACGACTTTTATTTTCTTAAGTTTCTGTCTACATTCTTGTTCTGAAACTATTGTTGCTTTAGGTTTGTTAAAGACTACATCCCATTCTTTCATAACATAACATTCTGGGCAGAGTCGACATAAATGACTAAACGTTTCAAATTCTCGACTGCTTTGTTATAGTCTCTAAATGGACACATATTTCTGAATGCTTGGAAGTCATAAAAATCTGAAACATCTATTCTGTACATTTTTATAAAAATAAAAAAAAATATTTTTTTTATTCTTGACTTTGTTGTTGCATTTGTTGCATTTGTTGTTCTTGAGCTATTTGTTGTTGAAGTTGTTCTTGTAATACAATACTTTCACCAGTTGCATCTTCCAATTCGAAACTTTCTGCCGTCATTGACAAATACATAGGACATAAAAGTTTTACAGGAACAAAGTTTGCGTCAACTAATGTCAACGTTATACTTGCCAAAGTGTTTGAGTTCACTAAGATTGAAAATTCTGCATTCGAATGAACAATAGGCAAACCAGCAAGAAAAGTATTGTTTATACGCATAAGTATCTTTTGGTCATAATAGTTTCTGTCGACATTCGAATAACACTTTGAACCTAAGTTTGAAACAATATATAAGATTGGTGTGCTTAATGTCAATGGAATAGACATTCCTTGTATGACACCTTTTCCTGTTATAGGAAACTGTTGGTAGTAAAAACCAGAAATAAGTTTTGTATTATAGCTCATATCGTTTATAGTAAACTCAGTCGGACATCCAAACATAATGAAACCTGCTCTAGTTGCAGCACATGTTACACCCGTACTTAAAGTATTAAATAAGTCAACAAAACCTGTTGGTGGTATATCTGAGTAAGTATCTTCAAAGGAGTATTTTTTACCATTCACAACAATAAAGTCTTCTGGTGTCAAAAGAGCAAAACAGGCTTTAGTCGTCATTGTGTTTAAGGTTAGTTTACAATATCGTCCTTGAGGACTTTGTAAGTTTGTTGTTATAGAATTATATGACTCAGGGTTTTAGTCGTAATAGTATAAACCATTATATCTTCTGCCATTTATATATATTTAAAAGTTTTTCTGAAAGTGGAGAAGAACTTCATCTAAACTTTCACATGGCGTTTCTTGAAGTTCTCTGTCTAAGAAGTTCAAAATTTTGTAAAGACATAGAACTTTCCTTTGTCTACACGAACAAACAAAACAGGGTCTTTCATATCGTTCAAAAGTGTGTAAAGTCCTTTACATGAAATAAAGTCTATATTATTTTTCTTCAAACATCTTTCAAGAAGTTTTGACATTTTTACTTAGCAAATAAATTTTAATGAAATGTTGTGGTCGTCAAATATTTTTATGACGTCTGGGAAACTATACTTTAAGTTCAACGTTTCACCTCCTTTCATAACGTATATCTTGTCAATGACATTATATGAAACACCACAGCAACTAATGTCGGGTTCTATTTCTTTGATGTTTATATCGTCTGCCTCTGTCAAAAGTTTCAATAGTTCTTTCAAACTTCATGAGGTGCAATGACATATGAGTTCACTTTTACAGGGTTGTGTTCGACCAAGTTTAACATTATACTTAAAGCTTGACAAATCTTCTCCTGAGTTTGAAGTTTGTCTTTCAGTTGTTGGTAGTCGTTTCGAATATCTGCAACAGAACTTAAGTCTCTGCTAACTTCAGGATATGTTGGTTGTTCTTTTTACAGGAACAATTGTTATACCATCTTCGTCCTCGTATGGTTTCCCCACTTCAACATCTCTGTCTTTGACATTGACAATAACACTTTGACTGTTTGTTTGAGTTGGTGAATTTAACTTCACATCTGCCACCGCCATTAAACCTTTTGAAACACTTACGCTTCTATTTTTCGGAAATGACATTTTACTTAGAATAAAAAGATGGACGTATTCGAGTATCTCTTCGAATTGAAGCAGAACAAAGTTTACAACACACAAACAATACAAATACATTGACAGAATAGTTCTTTATACAAACAATGGTAAATGTTATAGAATAGCAGTCTTTGCTGAACAAAATATTTTCATAAAGCAAAGAAAGTTGGTATAACTGAAATGGTGAAAGTTCTTGAAGCAGACAAAAATATAACTTCAAAACTTACAGATATTTCTAAAGGAAAGTTTATAATACAATATTATGTCAAAACTGGCGTACTGTCAATATTTGACGGAGAGAAGTCAGTTCAAGAACAACTTACTGACCTGCTGCCAAAATCTGCTCGATGGAAGCTGTCGTTATGCCAATCTGAGGAGCCCCAGCAGGTTTCATCGAACGAATCTTCAAAAGAGCATCTCCGTGAAAAAGTGCTATTGGTTTTGTAAACTTCTTTGCTTTCAATTCATCTGGACCGTCTCTGTCACCAGTATATTGTATTTGTACAGTACCAACAGTTGAAATACCACCCATAAAGTCTTCTGAGTCAGCAAATGGAATGCCAAGCCAAAAGTTTGAACGGTCTCCATTTGTATATTGAGTTTTTTGACCTCCTGTATGAGTCCATACTTTCACATATGGCATAATAGAACTTTGCATTTCAGGGTTAATGGTTGTTGTGAAGTTGTTGTTAAAGTTCATAGCATCTAATGTCAAGTTGTATGACCTCATATCCTCAACTGTAGAATATTCTTCTCTTGGATAATATTTGCCATCTATGTTTATATGATATTTAATACCGGGGTTGTAGAAACAAGAATAGTCATTTATAGTTCGTCTGAACAGTACAAACATAGTATCTGCATGTTTCATTGCAGTTGTTAAAGCAATATCTGTTCTTGCACCTGCGGCTCCTGGATTTTGGTTTCCAACTTCACCTGCAAAGTCTTTGACAGATATTTGGTGTATAGGGAACATAAGTGGAACTGCAATATATTTGGCAGCTAAAGCATTTGAAATATCTGGGTCCAACATATAGACTGCAAGTCTGCTTTCTATTCTCTTGCATTCAAATTTTTCGCATGTAAACTTAACTGGGTCCCAAGCAGTTCCAGCAGCATTGAAATAATAGTTTACTTCATTGTTGAAGTTTGAGAAACCAAAGTCTAAGTCAACTTTGTCTTTGCAAAATTCGGCGAATGACGTTTGATTTGTTCCCTTTACGTCTGTAATAGTGAATGGGTCTTGTGTTGGTGCAATGACTAAGTTATTTTTGCTTGGAGTAAGTTCGATAGAAATTTTTCCTGCCCAGTTTGGCAAGTATCTTAAAAACCTGAAGATGAGGAAAGATGACAAAGGAACTCTAAGTTTCAGTTTTACTTTAGTGGCAGCAGTTCCATCTGAACCAGAAAGGTTAACATAAACTCCTGGAACGTTAGGGTCAAGTCTTCTTATTTTCTCAATATTTGCATACTGGTCTGTTTGTTCTCTAGCTTGTGGTTGTACTGAGTTTCTCAAAGCGAACCATTCATAGTTTGCCCATGTTACTGTTTGAACTAAGTCAGAGTTAGAATATATCTTATATCCCATGAAAACTTCTGGAGCATATTGGTATCCGACATAGAAAATTCCATTGCAACCTTTCTTGTCAGACAACTTGGCAGAAGGTTTTATTTCAATGTCTTGTTCCACGTATAAGAATGAGTTGTCAATAGAAATAATATGAAACCTGTCGCAAGCAATATCTACTGTTGTTGAAGAACCTTCTCCAAACTCACCTACGTTTCCATAAGAAACAGCAGTTGTATATTCGTAAGTTCCAGGAACTATTTCTGACCTTCTAATGGCATTGTCGCATTCGTTATACCATTCGGAAACATTTCCGTTCATGGCATCCAAAACTGTTGGCGTTATATTCTGAGCGGCGTACATTTCATATGGGTAAAAATATAGAATAGTTGGATTTATGTGTCATAATAGAACCCACTCGGACCAAGCTTTACTTTCTTCCTGACTGAGTTTTTAACTCTTCTTTTTCCTTCATTGCCACTACTTTCACTAGATGAAGTTACTTCTTCACTATTTTCACTTTGTTCTACTCTTCTCTTCTTCTTTGGTGTCGCTTTTGGTAACATGCCCTCTGCTTCAAGTTGTTGCATCTTTGCCTCATGTTCACCTAGTATGTTGTAAATTTCCCATGTCCTTTTTGCCTTTGGGCTCTGGTCGCCCATCTCAGGTAACCTATATCCTAGAAAGATTTTGTCATAGTTTGTATTTGAGTCTTCGCGTATTGTTTGCATGACTCTTTCCTGAGTTTCCGGTTCAAGCTCTTCAAACAGAGCTTGTCCATATGGAATAAGCTCGTTTCCAAATATATGTTTTTGTAGCCATTCTGGTTTTCTTTCCATGTTACCAATAATATCTTTTGTGAATGGGAAAGCTTTTACCCAATGTTTCAGTCTTGCGTCATTTATTTCTGTAGTTGGTTTTATTTTGTCAAGGAACATGTTTTTCAATACTAACATTTCATTTGGTACTGTCCATTTGAGTTTTCTTAAATATTCATCCATTCTCGGTTCATTGTCTGCAAAGTAAGTTTTTATGACATTTTGCAAACTTTCGTTTGCAAGGTCATGTACAATAGGTTCTCTTCCTTCTCTCTCCCTAACTTTCTTTCTAAACTCTTCACCAAATATACCATCTCTATGGTTCTGTGTAGTTCTTTGAGATAAATGTTCTAGAACGTCAGGTGTTATATTTCCATCAGCCATGTTCATTTCATACTGGTTCAAAATATCTGCATCTTTCATATCTTTCAATGGCATTAAAGCCGCGCTGAAAATACCAGCTATATCTGGTTCACCATTCACTTCCATTGCGTCTACAACTTCTTGGAATTGAGGTTGTAAGTTTATGAACCACCTATCCGGATTAGCTTTATGACCCCATCTCATTGTAGTTCCATAGTCTGCAGAAACAAAAGTAGGTTTGTTTCCATATTGGCTAGGTTCTGAATGAACTTTAAACAATGTTTCATTTCTATATGTTTTGTTGAAATTTAACCTTTTATTTTCACCGAGTTCAGCCAAAGATTGAACGTTATATGGTCGTAAGTAAAAAGGATTGTTGTATTTGCATACACTTTCTTTCAGTTCTTCCATTCTATGCTGAATATTTTCATCTGATGTTGGAGTCTTTTGTATGTCGGCGAACATTTTTCGATATTCTTCTACTATGTCAGCCGAATTTTTCTTAGACTCTTGGAAAGATTCCATATTCTCCGCATACTCTTGTTGAGGGTCAAGATTTTTCGGCTGTTCCAAATCTTCATCTAGTTCTGTGAAGTTAGTTTCCAAAGGAGGGACTTGTTTGTTTCCTTCAGGCTCTTCTAGCTGTTGTTGCTGAACTATTTCTTCCATGTCTGGTTGTATCTGAACTTCTTCCTGTGGAGTTTCTTGTACCTCATCTGCTGGCATTTCATATATTCCGAGACCGTTTTTAACAAGTTCCCTATCTAAGTCATCCGGACTCATAAACCTTTCTTCTTTCGTTCCGTCTCTATTTTTTACGCGTTTCATGAAGAGAGTTGAATTATCATTTAGCTCTGACACCAAATATCTCGGAGTAAATTCAGTCATGTCATTTGGATGATATGCTATTAAATTATATCCCTTAGCGAGCTTGTATTTTCCAGGTTTGAAATTATATCCCATTTGGTGCTGAACCATAAAGCTAAATAGGTTCGGGTCAGTATTTCCTTCCTTGAACTTTCTAATAGCTTCTTTATATCTGTCACTAAAGTCAAGAGTATCTGGGTAACCATAGTCTTCCTTAAGCATTTTTAAGAATTCTTGGTTTCCTTGTTCTCTACTTCTTTTATGTCCTTGCTCTGTTTGTGGTTGTTGCTGTGCAGTGTTTTGAACTGTTGGTTGTGGTGCAGTGTTTTGAACTGTTGGTTGTGGTGCAGTGTTTTGAACTGTTGGTTGTTGTGTTGGTTGTTGTGTTGGTTTTGGTGCATGCCTGTGTCTGTGTCCATGTGACGATGTAAATGTTTTAGGTAGTCCTGGTGCAGGTGCTTCTCTTGGAGGGTTTGGTGGTATATAAGTTCCACTAGCTAGTATATAAGTTCCACCAGCTGGTATATAAGTTCCACCAGCTGGCACATATGTTCCATCTGCAGCATAATGTCCTACCTGACTTTTCGTTTTTAAGAAAGCATTTACTAGGTCTGTTTTGGTCTGTTGTAACTCTTTTTCTTGACTTTCCACAACAGTTGCTCTAACGGCGTCATAGGCACTTTGAACTGCCTGTCTCGTTGCTGCATCTGTTATTTTCGTCATATTTTGTGCTACTTCTCTTAACTCTTTGTCGAAACCTTCAGACTTCAGTTTCTTTCCAGATGAGAAGTCGTTCACTAGTTTCACCTTACTATGAAGAGCTTCGAAGGCGTTCTTAAAGTCAGCATTCATTAAAGCTTCATTTGAACTGTCTTCATCCGCTTGTATTTTTGTCCTTATTGACCCTATAAGTTGGGCTGCTTTAGCGTTGGCTTGGGCATCTAACCAGTCATTATTAGCTTTTATATATTCTGCGCTTTTCATTGCCTTTTGCATGGCTGCGTCGTTATTTTTACTTTCTTGTGCTAAGTTTTCATACTGTACGGTTTGGTTTTGCAACTGTAAAAGTTTTTCTGCCTTTACATTTGCTTCAACTTCTTTTTTATACTCATCGCTATCCATATATGTCTTCAGGGCTTTTTGTTTTATTTCTTCATCTTTCAGTACTTTATATTGAGTAGTATGGTTTTTCAAATTTATAACATCTTGTTCCATTTTTGCTACTTCTGCTGCTTTTTCTGACACTTTTTTCGCATATTCCTCTGTACTTAGTTCTTTCAGTTGTTCTTCTTTCTTCTTTTTCTCTACGTTTAACTCATTGAGTTTCTTTGTGTGTCTGTCATATTCTAGTTTCTTTTCGTTTTCGCTTATTTGTTTCTGTATGTCTATGTTTGACTTTTTGACATCTGTTATTTGATTTTTGAGTGAACTCAAATTCATTTGACTTTGAGGGTTATAGGCTGTTCCGTCTGCAGCTCCACCATAGCCTGCCATTTTCGCTAAAAGTGCCGCTCTTAAACCTCCACTCTGTGCACCAAGAACTCGGTTTAAAAGCATAGGGTTGCTTGACATTTGTTGCAACATAGTGGGGTCATTCATCATTTGTTGTTGCAACTGTTGTTGTGGTGTCAGTTTTACTATTGGATGTTTCAATGCTCTCTTCCTCTTACGTATATTCTTACGTAGCTTACGTGGCATTTTAAGTGAAGTTAAAAAGCGGTTTTTGACAGATGTTTATATGACACTTTTTGTTCAGCACAAAAAACTACTCGGTCAAAGTGTTGTCAGTTTTGTAAAATAACCGTCCTATCTCATTCTATAAGGGGGAAAAGGCTTCTCAAAGTATACTTCCTTGGAACGCCTGTAACTTTTCCTGTAGCGACGATAGACCCTTACTTGTCCGGACAAAGTTATACTAAACATCTTCAGGGCTAGAGGGCACGAAGTGCCTGGAGGCCCCACTACCTTTTTTTTTTTTTTTTTCAAATATTATCAATATGTTTATAAAATCTTTTTATAAAAAGAAACACCAATTCTGACTAATTTTAATCGAAGATTCAAATTATCAAATTTACAACACTACACAATATGAGTCTAATCAAACTATCTCTTGATGTTACACTATTTTTGAATCATGATTCTTGGATATATTAGTTATGGTGTTTATTAAATCGCTAATTTCACTAAAAATATAGGAAAATTATTTGAAATCTTATATTTATTTCTTTCACATACCTTGAATATGAATTAGTTCTGGTTAATATGAGGCTATTTTTTACAGACCTAAATTTTCTTATTAAAAGTAATCCTTACATAATAAAAACATATTTCAAGTTATGCCAAAAATAATTCTTCAAGTCGAAGCTTTGTTTAAGATCATTCAAATTATTTGAAACAATAATCAGTTTAAATTCATTTAAAATACTCGGAATCATATATTTACCGTTTAAAAATAATAAACTACATTGTATTGTATTGGTAAATACAAATATAAAAAATTTTAATAATTCTTATTTCTTATGTTTCTTTGGAGGCGGTGCAGGCCCATCATCATCCGAATCACTAAACAATGGCTTCTTCTGTTACTTCTTTGGAGGAGGTGCTGGCTCATCATCGTCATCAGAATCGCTAAATAATGGTTTCTTTTGTTGTTTCTTTGGTTTTTCTTCTTCATCGTTTTCTTCACTTACTTTTGACTTCTTTTGTTGTTTCTTTGGCTTTATTTCCTCTTCATCTTCATCATCATCGCTAAACATTGGCTTCTTCTGTTGCTTCTTAGGAGGAGGAGGTGCTGGTTCATCATCATCAGAATCACTAAACATTGGCTTCTTCTGTTGTTTCTTTGGTTTTTCTTCATCACTTACTTTTGATTTCTTTTGTTGTTTTGGTTTGATTTCTTCTTCTTCGTCATCATCACTAAACATTGGCTTCTTTTGCTGCTTCTTCGGCTTTGGCTCTTCATCATCATCAGAATCACTGAAAGCTGGCTTAGTTTGCTTCTTTGGCTTGATTTCTTCTTCATCAGAATCACTAAACATTGGCTTCTTCTGTTGTTTCTTTGGCTTTTCTTCTTCATCAGAATCACTAAACATTAGTTTCTTTTGAACTGTCTTCTGTTTCTTCGGCTGTTCTTCTTCTTCGGAATCACTGAAAGCTGGTTTAGTTTGTTTCTTTGGTTGTGGTTTTGGAGGTTCATCATCTTCATCTGAATCACTAAACATTGGTTTCTTTTGTTGTTTCTTTGGTTTTTGCTCTTCTTCATCTTCATCGGAATCACTGAAAGCCGGCTTCTTTTGTTGCTTTGGATTTGGTTTTTCTGCTTTAGATGAGTTAGATTTCTTTGGAGCTGGGGCTTCGTCTTCATCTGAGTCATCGCTGAACAACTTCTTCGATTCCTTAGAGTTCTTTGCCTTCTTTTGTGGCTTTGCTGGTTCTTCATCTGAATCAGATGAAAATGCAGGATGAGATTTCAAGTTCTTTGGCTTCTGTTGTGGCTCTTCGTCCGAACTTTCATCAGAATCTTCCTTGTGGAAGGCAGTAGGAGGCTCAGGAGAGAGTAAAGCTGAGTCTGTGTAAATCGGATTCTTTTGCTTTGAAGAAGAAGATGATTTGGCAGCTGGTGATGAACTGTCATCGTAATCTGAGTCTAATAAGCTTGCAGCAGCTTTAGAATCGCGCTTTGGTTTAGCTGGAGGCTCATCATCTTCGCTTGAGTCTAATTGCTTCTTGCTTGATGACGATTTCTTAGCAGGTGATGCCGTATTCTTTGTTGGTTTAATTGCCTTTGGTGGTGGAACTTCTTCATCGTCTGATGAACTGAAGTATTTCTTATTTCCTGATTTCTTTGGTGGTGAAGGTACTGGTTCTTCAATATCTTCATCAGAATCGTCTGACGGTGGCTTAGCTTGTCTTTTTGATGATTTTTTAGAAGTACTTGTTGCACTACTTTCTGAAGCACTTGATTTACGTCTTCCATCTTTCGATGGGGAAGAATATGAATTTACGTCACAATCATATTGCATTTCTTTCTCACGAATTTCTTCTTCTAATTGTTGAATAGATTTTTCCATTGAAGAAAGGTTGTTTGAAAGTTGCTTGTACTTTTTGCTAAGTCTGATATATTCTTCGACGAGTTGTTGCTGTGTTTTAGCGCGCTTTCTTAATGAAGAATCGTTTTTTTCTTTTTGTTCCTTATAAGATCCCTCAGTCATAAGATCATTTCTGGAGATCTTTGGCTCACTGTAAAGAGATTTCCTCTTACCATAATTTGCTCCTTTCATTATAAAATACTAAAAAAATCAAGTCACTTTTCCACTTTTTTCCTTACATCAATACCGAGTTGCTAACTCGGACTTGAAGTATAGCTGATACAAACCAACCACCACCATACGATGCTATGAGCTACCCAATAATATGATTCGATTTGGAAAATCTGATAAAATTTCTCATTCTCATTCCCTATAACATTCGCTTATGATATTAGCTATACATTTTCATGTTAGGGTATATTTCATCTAACTTATCACAAATAATATATTGAATCAATGAGATATTATCAAATTATTTGATTTGTAGTCTGAATAGCCAAGAAACAATTTTCTAGACAAAATGTAGTGATTTATGCAATTTTGAGCTCATCAAAGAAAATATGCAAAATATATAATCTGATTTCATTTTAAATTGTACAGTAATTCGTGGTATAATCGATACTTGTAATAACATTAGATTTGATATCGGGATAATTCAAACTATTAATGATAAATTTTAATAAATCAACATAACCCTTCGTGATTGAAACTAATCAAGACATGGATAAACTATTCTTCGAACTAACTAATCCAATTCTGTAAGAATAATAGTAAATCTTGACCATTACTTTTTTTGTATGGCACAATGAAGTGGAGTCACTTTTTCTTTCTCTTCGAGAAAAGATGATGAAAATAAATGTCGGACCTCCTTTAGATGGTGAGCTGAGCATCGATATATCAGCGAACCCCACCATCATGGATGTCAAGGCATATATTTACAAGATCAGTACCATTCCTACATCAAACATTAAAATATTCCGAAACAACATCGAGATGGCGAACACCGTGAGCACAGCCGATTTTGCCAATAACTCAACAGATCATTTCACATGCATTATTGATGAACAAACAGAAAATAATAACAATATTCGACAAGAAGACATCGATAAAAAGGTTGATTTCATCTCAAACATGGGCTATCAAAGAGAGAACGTCATCAAGGCATTAAAAGATACAAATTACAAAACAGAAGATGCGATTTCATTATTAAAATCTTCCATCTCGAGACAAAGAGCCGATTTTACATCAAAAAAGGAACAACATTCCAACAAAATCAGCCATGATCGTAGCAAACACAAAGAAAAATGGACTTCAAGTGATGATGAAAAATTACTTGATTTATACTTAAAAGTATCTAAAACATCAATCAAATGGAGCTTTATACAGCAATACTTCCCTAATTGTTCAACATCTCGTCTCGAAAAGAAATTTAATAAAATCATCAAAAAAATTCAACAAAATAAGAGTAATATCAAAATGCCACCTGCATTACTAAACGATGTATTTGGGTTCGTCGATATCAATCTTCATAAAAGTAATTTGACTCAAAGTTTTGACAGAAAAGTGCCAATAAACGTTATAAAATTAATTTTAAGTTTTAATCAGAACAAATGCAATATTGATGATGTTGTTAAAGAGAAAGATTTTAATTCATTTCCAAAAGGATATTTAATTTACTTGATTTATTGGATCCACATTAATTTGAACATTTTTGTTTTGCCGTCGAATAAATGGTCATTAAAAGAAATCAGAATTCTTCTTGACAGGCATTACAACAACAACAATGACCAAGAGATTGCTTCCCAATTGAAGAAGAAAGATAATTTCGATGTACATGACAAAATCAAACAAATTAAAATGGCAATAATTGAAGATATCGAATTAACAACTTTTGCAAAATATTTTGAGAATTTCGAAGTGAAAGAATGCGAATACAACAGAGATGACATTCCTGTTTACGTCAATGACTTGTTAAACAAGTATTTGAACTTCGAAAATGATAAATTGAGATTAAATCAATGGAGCCAAGCAACAAATTATGAAAGTGAAATTGAAGAAGATTTGATTTCTAAAGAATTCCAATGGAATGACGAAATGGAAATGAAACTTTTGGATGGAGTAGAGGAATATGGAAGTACTAATTCTGGTTTTAGAAAGATATTGAAGAAAAATGAATGGGAATTTCCAATTGAAGAAATTACGAAACATTTCAAACAAATAAAAACTGAAATTTGCGAAGGAAAGAAGAAAAATTTGATCAAAAACAGAACAAAATTAGTCATTAATCCTTTCAAACTCGTAAAGACTTACTTGGCTATTGGTAATATCCAGTCTATATACCCTTTCTGCACTTTAGGATATTTAAGATATCTCTTGTTTTTCATTTCTTCATTCATTGCATCACAAAAAGTGACAAATAAACAGAAAGAGTGGACTTTGAACGATGTAAGAGTGATGCTCGAGATGAGTAGCGATGGAGAGAGTGATTCAAGCATAAGCGAAAGGTTAAATCACAAATTCGACGTGAATTCAATTGTCGATAAGAAATTAGAAATTGTCAGACAGTTGAGATCAAGCGAAATGAAGAAATTTGTGCAGTATGGAGAGAACGCAGCTATTCCTAATCAAGATTTCGAAATTGATGAAAATTATATTCCAATTTATTTTATCAAAATCCTTGAAGACTACAATAATCGTAATAAGAACATTGTTAATATATTAGATGTCGTAGATTTATTCAAAAAATCAGATAATAATTTTAATTTTGACTTATTTAAGCAAAAATTCCCTGAAAATAATCCAGGACATCTTTTATTCATCTTCCATTGGCTTGTTTTCTCTCTTAACAAATGCATTTATGTAGATGGATGGTCTCATTACGACATAAAACAAGTTTTTATTGATTATTATGAAAAAGTTGATCCAGAATTGACAAGAAAGAAGTTGTTGACACGAAAAACAGCTGATGAAATCGTCAGATTCAGAACACAGTTGATAGAATCGCTGAAGAAACCTCCGAACTTGGAAGAATTCATGTCTTCTGTTAAATTCGATGTGAATGAAAGTGAATATGACTTTCTAGGAATTCCAAGTTATTTACGTGATGCTGTATCACTTTATAAAAATCACCGCCGCGTTTTGGAAGGAGCTTATAAATGGACAAAAGAAAATGAACAACTTCTGTTGACATTGTTCTCAGCGCGAAAAGCGAATTGGGAGAAAATTAGTCAAAATTTCCCAAATTGCCAACTTAATGATTTGAAAAATCACTTTAAAGAACTGAAAAGCGAAATAGAAAACGGAAACAAGCGTAATTTCGAAATTACTGCCGAAGAAAAGGATTTCATCATGAAATACCAACCAGAAAAGGAAGAAAAATACGAAGAAAATGAAAGCATAGTTGTTTTGAAATCGGAAAAATACGAAATTCCGAAAATTCCAACAGAAGCAATTGATATCAAGGACATTTTAATGAAACTGAAAGAAAACAGCATGTATTACAAGAAATTGGATAATTATAAAGGTCTTTCGAGTGGATACATTGCTTTCTTAGTTTTCGCTTTGATGATGAGATGTAGGAAATACAACTTCAAGAGATACAATGAGAAATACTACAGAATGGCAATATTAATGCATTATGATAACGTAAATAAAAGACTAATGCAGAACTACGTCAATATCAACATCGAAAGATTTTTAGCTCTCATATCAAAATACAACAAAAAACTACTAAATCAAGAATTGCTCCAAAGTTATATTGATGTTGCAGAAACAGTAAAAGTAACAAATGAATATTCAGTTCAAGGAGTTCCTGTGTATTTCGATCTGATTGGAAAAGCTTATAGAAAGATTGTTTATGATCAAGGAAAGTGTGAATTGAACCAAGAACAAAAGGTTCTTCAGAAGAAATTCCAGAAAACTGAGAAAAATTATTATTCTGACGAATCTGAATCGGAAAGGAAGAAAGCTGCAAAACAAAAGAAATCAAAGAAGAACAAACATAAAAAGAAGAGCTCGGATGATGATTTCATTTCTTCTGATTTCATTGAAATGGAAACTTCCGATGATTATGATTTCGAAACAAAACAAAAGAGAAAACCTGGACAAAAAAAGAGTGCTGTTTCTTCTGAATCAGAAGTATTTGAGTCAGAAATTGATCAAAAACAAAAACAAACACCACAAAAGAAAGAAGTTTCTGATGAATCTGATAATTCTCCATCTGATACGGAATCAAAAGAAAAAACAGAACAAATTCCTGAAAAGACAATCGTTTCATCTGATTCTGATAACTCAGAGTCAGAAGTCGAAGTTAAACAAAAGAAGAAACCAGGAAGAAAGAAGAAAGTTGTTGTTGCTTCTTCAGATTCTGATTCAGATGTGGAACAAAAGCCAAAGAAAAGAGGAAGACCAAAACGAGTTGTTTCATCCGATTCTGATGATTCTGATTCAGAAGTTGAAGTTGAAGTCAAACCAAAGAAAAGAGGAAGACCGAAACGTATCGTTTCTTCAGACTCTGATAATTCTGAATCAGAAGTTGAAGTCGAAGTTAAACCAAAGAAAAGAGGAAGACCGAAAAGAATTATTTCATCTGATTCTGATGATTCTGAATCAGAAGTCGAAGTTAAACCAAAGAAAAGAGGTCGACCAAAAAGAATTATTTCTTCAGATTCTGATGATTCTGATTCGGAAGTTGAAGTTGAAATTAAACCACCACCTCCACCACCAAAACGCAAAAGAGGAAGACCGAGGAAGAATCCAATTATTGCTTCAGATGAAAGCGAGGATCAAGAGAAAAGGACACAATCAATTAAACCTATCATCAAATCAACAAAATCTCTTTCTGATGATGAAAAATCTTCCCAACAAAGAGATTCTGATGATGAAAAATTAACATCTTCAGGAGAAGTGAAATATTGGACAAAGGAACGAGATCAGAAGTTAGTTTCGATGCACAACAAGTTCTTCAATGATTCAGAGCTTTGGAACATAATTAAAAAGGAATTTCCAGAAGTTTCCATCCAAAATCTTCGCTACAGACTTTATACTTTGAGATTACTGAGTGAAACAAATCAAAGAAGGGACTTAATTTTCAGTCATTATTCTAATGAAGAAGAGCCTTCACAGAGAACGAAACAAGCTTACATGAAAAGCTCTTTCAAATCCAAGACAATCAACGTTTGTTCACTTGTTAAAACTTATTTCAGCAGTGGAAGAAATGTTGATTCTTGCTTCAGAAATTACAGTTCTGGATACTCAAAAGGATACGTAATTTATGTTTTGTTTTGGCTTTCAATGAAACTCAATTTCAGACCTTTCCTAATTAAGGACTGGACAATGAGAGAAATCAGAGTTCTCTTGGAGAAGTCTTACGAAGGAATCGAGTACAACGTTATCTGTGAGTACTTGAACAAGAAAACAGCAAGAAGAGCTGAAATGATGAGGAAATTAATTCCAAAAATTATCATGGAAACAAAGGAATTGCATGACTTTATAGTTATGTTTGATCAGTGCGACTCATCGAATCAGCAACTCGACCATGATGACATTCCTTTATACGTTTGCCAACTTGTTGATTTCTTTAATTCATCAAAGAATTCAAATCAAAATGTTTAATGTTTTTTTTATTTGTATGTATATCTTAAAATATTATTTTTGTTTTTATTAATTCATACAACTCAGATCTATATTATCATCAAATCCATCATTTATTACTAAATATCAATCGGAAATAAGATATTACTGGATTATTGCTAATACATATGGCGCAAAACTAAAAGGAGTATAACTACTTTTTTTTTAATTTTGAGTTTAATTTGAAGTGAAAAAACAGGACATAATTTTGTATTAGAAGAATATTTAAATATATAGATATAATGTTTAAGATAGAATATGTGGTTGACTGCATTAGATCTTCTAATTTAATATCTAAATTCAGTTTTTATTAAATTTTTGTTAAATCACCCTTGAAATCAAAAATACTTATTAAGGATGGGCACTCATAGGCTCCTGACAGCATAAAAATGTTATTATCTCACAATATAAAAGGAATCATAGGAATCTACAACTATATCTATATTGTTGGAAGACTTCTTAATGTATCATGCATATAAGTTATATCAATAACTCCATTATGTTATATGATTGTAATCATATTTTCGTTTCATGTTCAAAAACATTAAAATCATACTAACTATATGAGTATTATATTTAGGAAGCTGATATATAGATATGATAAAATGCTAGGTTTTGTGATTAAGAATATATACTTATCTTTTAGAAAATAATACTTTTATAAAAAATTATATCTTATATAATCTAAAAATTTTGGACAATTAAAAAACATTAATTAAAAATAGAAGGTGAAAGTGTTTATTCAAAGAAGGTGCAAGATTATGATGTTTTGAGGGTGAAATAAATTTAATAATTATTTATGTGATTTAAGAGTAATACGATCATCGGTAGCTTGAAGACCTCTCTTTATAGCTCTTAATGCCGCAAACTTTTTTTGAACTTGCTTTGAATTTTTGAATGCTTTGATTAAATCTTTTGTTGTATCATACATTCTGAAATATCTGTTCATCATTTCTGGCATTGTTGGTAAATTTAACCTGTATCTTATTGCTACAATCGTTTCAAACATACTTTCATTGAAATGCAATATTGTGACTGCCATCCTAATTGGCCAAGAAGCATGCCAATTAATATTTTTATTAGCAAGCATTGCTTTGATATGGTTTATTGATTCAACTACTTGAGTTGAATGAATCTTTTTTACCATATCAAAGATTTTTACGGTATCTTCGAGGAATTTTTTAAGTGTTTTTATAGCAGTTTTATTTTTTGCATATTTCCATGGTTTAATCATCTTGCATTTTTCAGGATCTGGACAAAATTTATGATTTCCGGCATAATGTTTAGCGGAATTCAACCATAAAAACTTCTTTGTTTTAATTGACATATGTGTGTCATTGAGAAGTTGCCTAAGCCAACGCAATAAATTCTTTGAAATGCTAGATAAGATTCTGAATTCTGGCAGTTTGAGCTTTTTCTGTATATTGTTAAGAAAATGTCCAGGATCTCTGTATTCTCTGATACCTTTGAACGTATTTTTGATTGTAGAAACAATTTTGACATCGCCATCATGCACAAAAAAATTTACACGTTTTTCATTATTCCAACGCTTCAGCATTCTTTTTAAGCCTTCAAATTCCATTTCATTTGATTTCCCGTTGAAATTACCTTTGAAATTTTTAAAAGATTTAGATATCACTTCCCAATCTACAATTTTTTGAGTTTCTCTTCTACAAATTGTACATAGCAAAACATTGCATTTCTTCTCTGACTCCAAGAACCGTCAAACAAAAGTCCCGAACATTTTCTCATTCGAGATTTCCAATAATTAACAGATTCTCTGGCAACTTCTATGATAACACGACCAACCTTTTCTTGGACTCGATGAAATGTAGCTTCTGACGGAACTTTGATGTTATTCAGCATGAATTGAAATTCTGATTGGCAAAATGTAGCGCCGCTCAATAATACAGATAGCACAAATTCAACAGTGTTGACGACATATGGCTCTACCCTATTTTTCGCGCTTTGAACTAAGTTCTTTATACGCTTTGCAACTGCTTTTGTTCGCCGCGGCATGAAAAATGAAGAATAACTTGACGGTTTCTTGAACAAATGGTCGCACATTCAAATATTGTGATGTACGATCAGGATAAAAGAATGTTGTTGCCGTGAATTTAGAAAATAGCAAAATTTCAATTTACGCAATCGAGATATAACTTGATCGTTTGAGCGATAACCATGGCACCCATAGTATTAATGAAAGTACTCATACTTACAATTATTTTCTCCCATAGGAATATTGTTCAATATACTTCACCTATAGAGGAAATCTCGAAATAAAATCGAATTTTTTCAAAAATTACAAAAATCAATTTTTTACAAAGATGTTCGAAAAATAACATTATATACGCATCAAATCAAAGCATTATATGGAGCATTATAATTCTATATATGATTGTCCATCTTGCTGTTGTGCTATTTTTTTTAAACAATAATTTCATTGTTGAAATTAAATTTGCAATTTCAGTAAAAATTGCGACCCATCATTTTGAATATAATTGAATTAATACATTTATTGTAAGAATATTATATACCAAATATTTAGGGTGATGAAAAAAATCAAGTCTAGCAAAGTCAATATATTAAAAACAGTGAAGACTATTATATAGCATTATAGTGCACAAGCTCAAATATTTAGTGATGCATTTCTCGAACTTATTTTATTTATAAGTTAACCTTGAAACATGAATTTTAGTATATCATGAGCATATTTTTTTCTAATTTTGCAATACTTATAATATCATACCAGGATTCATGTGGAAGTCTAATATTTGGTATATAATATTCTTACAATAAATGTATTAATTCAATTATATTCAAAATGATGGGTCGCAATTTTTACTGAAATTGCAAATTTAATTTCAACAATGAAATTATTGTTTAAAAAAAATAGCACAACAGCAAGATGGACAATCATATATAGAATTATAATGCTCCATATAATGCTTTGATTTGATGCGTATATAATGTTATTTTTCGAACATCTTTGTAAAAAATTGATTTTTGTAATTTTTGAAAAAATTCGATTTTATTTCGAGATTTCCTCTATAGGTGAAGTATATTGAACAATATTCCTATGGGAGAAAATAATTGTAAGTATGAGTACTTTCATTAATACTATGGGTGCCATGGTTATCGCTCAAACGATCAAGTTATATCTCGATTGCGTAAATTGAAATTTTGCTATTTTCTAAATTCACGGCAACAACATTCTTTTATCCTGATCGTACATCACAATATTTGAATGTGCGACCATTTGTTCAAGAAACCGTCAAGTTATTCTTCATTTTTCATGCCGCGGCGAACAAAAGCAGTTGCAAAGCGTATAAAGAACTTAGTTCAAAGCGCGAAAAATAGGGTAGAGCCATATGTCGTCAACACTGTTGAATTTGTGCTATCTGTATTATTGAGCGGCGCTACATTTTGCCAATCAGAATTTCAATTCATGCTGAATAACATCAAAGTTCCGTCAGAAGCTACATTTCATCGAGTCCAAGAAAAGGTTGGTCGTGTTATCATAGAAGTTGCCAGAGAATCTGTTAATTATTGGAAATCTCGAATGAGAAAATGTTCGGGACTTTTGTTTGACGGTTCTTGGAGTCAGAGAAGAAATGCAATGTTTTGCTATGTACAATTTGTAGAAGAGAAACTCAAAAAAATTGTAGATTGGGAAGTGATATCTAAATCTTTTAAAAATTTCAAAGGTAATTTCAACGGAAAATCAAATGAAATGGAATTTGAAGGCTTAAAAAGAATGCTGAAGCGTTGGAATAATGAAAAACGTGTAAATTTTTTTGTGCATGATGGCGATGTCAAAATTGTTTCTACAATCAAAAATACGTTCAAAGGTATCAGAGAATACAGAGATCCTGGACATTTTCTTAACAATATACAGAAAAAGCTCAAACTGCCAGAATTCAGAATCTTATCTAGCATTTCAAAGAATTTATTGCGTTGGCTTAGGCAACTTCTCAATGACACACATATGTCAATTAAAACAAAGAAGTTTTTATGGTTGAATTCCGCTAAACATTATGCCGGAAATCATAAATTTTGTCCAGATCCTGAAAAATGCAAGATGATTAAACCATGGAAATATGCAAAAAATAAAACTGCTATAAAAACACTTAAAAAATTCCTCGAAGATACCGTAAAAATCTTTGATATGGTAAAAAAGATTCATTCAACTCAAGTAGTTGAATCAATAAACCATATCAAAGCAATGCTTGCTAATAAAAATATTAATTGGCATGCTTCTTGGCCAATTAGGATGGCAGTCACAATATTGCATTTCAATGAAAGTATGTTTGAAACGATTGTAGCAATAAGATACAGGTTAAATTTACCAACAATGCCAGAAATGATGAACAGATATTTCAGAATGTATGATACAACAAAAGATTTAATCAAAGCATTCAAAAATTCAAAGCAAGTTCAAAAAAAGTTTGCGGCATTAAGAGCTATAAAGAGAGGTCTTCAAGCTACCGATGATCGTATTACTCTTAAATCACATAAATAATTATTAAATTTATTTCACCCTCAAAACATCATAATCTTGCACCTTCTTTGAATAAACACTTTCACCTTCTATTTTTAATTAATGTTTTTTAATTGTCCAAAATTTTTAGATTATATAAGATATAATTTTTTATAAAAGTATTATTTTCTAAAAGATAAGTATATATTCTTAATCACAAAACCTAGCATTTTATCATATCTATATATCAGCTTCCTAAATATAATACTCATATAGTTAGTATGATTTTAATGTTTTTGAACATGAAACGAAAATATGATTACAATCATATAACATAATGGAGTTATTGATATAACTTATATGCATGATACATTAAGAAGTCTTCCAACAATATAGATATAGTTGTAGATTCCTATGATTCCTTTTATATTGTGAGATAATAACATTTTTATGCTGTCAGGAGCCTATGAGTGCCCATCCTTAATAAAAAGTTACAATTGCGTGCATTTCCTCCTATTTGAGTTAATTTGAAAGATACAAAATATTCACTTGTTTGCAGCGGAAATTCTTTGATTTCTCCTCCCTGAAATTCATAATATTTATTATTATCTAATACAATAGTTGTTCCATTTTCTTTGATTCCTTCTAACTTCCATCTTCTCAATAAGTCAGGATCCGTTACACATGTTGATTGTAAAACATATGATCTTGGTCTTAACTTATACCCTTTTAGATCAGCTTTTATCCATAAATTAGATTCACCCTTAGGAAATAAACTTCCCCTTCCAACCGATGAAGCAGTAATTTCCATCTGAATTTCTTTAGAAATTTCTTTAAAATGAGATTCATAAACATTAATCGAATTATCTGATATTTTCAATTGATTTAACGATTTTTCAAATGATGAAATAAGTTGGTTTGAAACGGTAAATTGATATTTATTTAAAGTTTTTTCAAATGATGATATAGATTGATTTGAGATTTTAATATTTTCTCTTATATTTGAATGATAATTCTTTATCGTTTCATTGTATATCGTTAGAAGAACTGATTCGAATGAATGTTCAATAGAAAAGTTATAAATTTTGTCTAAAATTTCACTAGAACAAAATGATAATTTGATATATCTAAATAAATCAAATAGTGTATTGTCTCTCTTGCAGATTTCTAAAAGCAACAAAGATAACTTATCTTCATTTTCGATCTTTAATTGTTTCGAATTCAAGATTTTTTCACAAAATTCATAACCATTTTTTGCGAAATTTTCAATGATATCATTGTCATTTAAACAATATAAATGTGATAAATGAATTCAATGCATTCATTTTCGGTTATAGTATCATTTTCTAAAATTGAAATTTCATATTTCTGAAAAACGTTTTCTTTTGTAATTGATTTATCTAATTTAACATGCTCGATATACACTTGGATAAAGATTTGATTCCCAAAACGCTTTCCGATTTCAAATATATCATGATAATGTTCTTCATCTTCTTGAAATTCGAGCTTTCCTGTTTCAAGAAACTTTATAAGTATGTCAATTGAATCTTCACATTTCAAATTTAGATTTATTTTAAACAAAGCCGTTCTTTTGTCATAAATACATTTGTCTTTTATTAAATCTGAAAAACAGACAGCCGAGGACTTCAATGTTTTGATTGTTCGACCATTAATAATTATATTTAATGGGCCACATTCAGTAAGAATGCCAACCCGCGATAGTTCATTACATAATTTCGGAAATTGAACCATTGAAAAAAAAAGTAAAAATAAAAAACCATCATTTTTTATAGGGGTATGTTTATGGTAATATCAAAATGTCTCCTTCTTTTAAATAAACGAGTTAATGTGTAAATTACATATAATTGAATCTGACAAAATGTAAATTCCGCCAAAGAATTATCAATTCAAGATGTGCAAACAAATTAAAAGAAAATTATCTTATATGGAGTTCATGTGAATTGTTTAAGATTACCATACATAGAATGAACACAATAACTATAAGTTAAGACCCAAGACATGTTAAAACAAGATCTAAAATAAAGAAAAAAAAATTTTTTTATAAGTAAAAAAAAATTCAATATAATATATAAATGTATTAGTTATTAATCTTCAAACCAGTTCCGATTCCTCCAACTTTAGATAACTGGCAAACGCTGCAAAGTTCATTTGCGTGTGATGCCTTATAGGTAGCACCGCAGAATGGGCAGGAAACCTTCTGTTCGCCGATTGGAATCTGAACTAATTCGTTGCAGCAGACCTCGAAATTTCCAACAGGAGTGAAATCAACTTTCACAGCGTCAGTCTTATTTCCTTGGCTCTTTGACTCGATTACCTTTCTTGTTCTCTCATCAGTAGCGAACATGAGAGCTGTCTTGAAGCATCCGAGTGTTGTAGCGATGTTAACAGCCAAGTTCAAAGCGATGTTCTGCATCTTTTCATCGAGTTTCAGAGCGTAGATGTACAACAAATACTCGAGTTTTCTTTTATCTGGTTTCTTGATTGAGTTCTGTGCAATTCCGAGCATTGCTGCAATCACGTACTTCCTGCATATTTCTACAGCATCTATGACCTTCCTCTGCTCTTCAACAGTTGAAACAGATGCAATTGGAATTGACTGCAAAAGTGACAAGAAAATTGACTTTGCAGCATTGAATTTTCCTTTTGTCATGAGTTTGGAGCCTTCTTCGATCATCTTCTCCATTCTTTCGATGGAGAAATATGGAGAAGGAGCCTTCCTCTTCAAGAACTTCGCTGTCAAAGGAGAGATGATTGGAGGAGCGCATGCAAGAGCAGGAATTGAAACATGCGATGCAATGTAACTTGCAACAAAATGCTCCTTGAGTGGTTCTGCATTTATCAATGCAATCTGTTCAGACAAGACTTGCAATGCGAGGCCGAATTCACCGGCAGCAGCGTATTGACCAGCGATTTCGACTCCTTCCATCCATTGCGATGAAACAGATTGTCCTGGAGATGGAACAATGAATCCAGCAGCAGCTCCTTGTCCTGGAGAAGCAGTGACATCGAACTGGATGTCGTCCATGTCCCAGCCGTTCTCTTCGTCATCATCCTCTTCACCGTTTTCTTCTTTGGCTTCTGCGGCTTCTTCGTTGAAGTTCCAGCCGTTTTCTTCATCATCGTTTTCTACATCGTCATCGTCATCGTGCTGCGATCCTGGTGTGACAACATACTTTGGTCTGTTGATGTAAAGTGTTGGCCAGTCTTCCAATTTCTCAACAGTTTTGAGAGGAGATGAAGTGATCTCATGTTTGGCAAATTTCTTCAGTTCATCTTTGATTTCGTCTGGCACTTGAATTGATGACTGCAATGAGTCATCACCGTCAGCAGCGATGTATGCAATGGAAGGAGCGACATCGTGGAGAAGAATTGCCTCTGTCTTGAAGTCATTTGACCAAATCGCGCGTTGTAATGAAAGTGAATCGTCAACTTTCAATGAATTGAGTTTCTGTGTCTGGCCACTGATCAAATAAAGGAAGGCAAGACGTTCCATGTTACCGCTCTTCTTGAATGCTTGCTCTGCAACTGTGAATCTGCCTTGTGCCATCGCTTCATCTGCTATTCTGTCCCAAATTACGGGATCGGCAAGCTCAGTTGCGGCATCTACGCCTAATTCGAGGTTGCCGGACTCCATGGCCAAGTCAAATTTGGCACGAGGTTGATGGACAAACTGAACGGCGATTTCGGGATGTCCGTGCTTGTGGAGATAGTCGATGATGGAGGTGGAGCAGACCTTGGCGGACCTGAGTGTTGCGACGACGGCGTCGATTCGGTTTTCCATGATGGCAAGGCGGAATTTAATTTCAAGAGTGTCAATTGGGAACTTTCTCACAGTATCTTGTATGTTAAGTCCGTAGAGTTTATCTGAAATAGCGGCGACATAGAGTGTTTGTGGTGTACTCTTGAGAGTGCCGCCTTCTCCGTTGATAAGTAAGTATTTGACGTGGGTCCTTGTAGAATAAACGAAAACGTTGCTGTCAAACCATACGCCTGACTTTGTCTTGACAACTTCTGTGACTTTTGTAATGTTGTTGAAGTCAATATCCGAAATAATAACATCTGTTGACGTAAGCATACCAATGTGCTTCCTGTCTGGGCTCATGATGATGTTCTTGATGTTGGATAAGTGGGTCTGAGAGATCTGGGAGCGTCTCATGATGTCGTATCTGAAGAGAGTTTCGCCATCAGTTCCGAAAATAGTTCCTGGCGGGCCAGGGAAAATTTTCCTGCATTTGAGGGTAAGAGTGGATGTAGATGATCCGCCAATTTCGCGTAAACTGATGTTTTGTGTTTGTGAATCTGTTTGGAAGACAAATTGGTTACGGCCAATCCAAACAGGGTTGAATCCTTGAATGACTTGGTTGTCGTCACCTGGTTTTCCATTTGCTGGAACGATTTCGATACGATCTGGGTATCCAACAAGAAATACTTTATGTGTTGGGTTGTAGCTTACGGTAGTTGGTTTCGGATCAATAGGAGATTGACGTGATGTCGATGATCTCTGTTTGATGTATCCAGTAACGCCGTCTGATTCATCTTTGATATTATAAGCGCGAATTGCATTTTCTTTGTAGTAATAAATGTTGCCATCGACTGTATCGTATGCAGGAGCGTTTTTCGTGACACTATAAATGACTAAACCATTATCATGTCCAGCAGCGAAAATTGGCTTGACAGGATGGGCCGCGACGCACCAGAACCTGTTTCCTTCGGACTTGTACTTTGAAAGATGTACGAAACGCTTTGAATCCCAGACTCTGACTGTCTGATCTTCTGAACAAGAAAGAACGAGATCCATGTTTGGCATGAAGCATGCACAAGAAATATTTCCTGTGTGGCCGCGTAATGTAGCAACAAGGCTCATTTCAGTCTCAACGATTCTCCAGATCTTAACTGATTCATCATCTGAACAAGAAACGGCCATAGGCTTGTTTGGATGCCATGCAGCCCAGTTGACACCGGCTGTATGCTCTTCCTGTGTAAATTTCATGACGGCATCTGTAATAGAGAAGATTCCTCCGCTTGATTGTCCATCATTGAAAAGAGAAGAGATATCCCAGACACGAACAGAGTCATCAAGGGATGCGGATAAAACAAGAGGAAGAGTGGGATGGAAGAATGCGGACATGACGTAGTGGTTGTGGCCCGAAATTGATGTTAAGCACAAATTCGTTTCGTAATTCCAAATTCTGATGGTTTGGTCGTCAGATGCTGAAACAAGGAATGGCTTTGTTGGATGGAATTGTACTGTACGGATGTAGTCGAGGTGTTCTGTAAATGTTGCGATACAACGCTGCTCATCGTAATTAAAAATCTTAATGCATGTATCATCTGCACCTGCTGCAAATAATGGAAGTGAAGGATGGAAGCAGGCTGTGCGGACTGGGACGGTAAATTCGTTATATCTTTGAATTTCTACTCCTACTTCGTAGTCGTAGATAATGATTTCTCCGGTATGGAAGGATGCCAAAAGCCATGGACGAGAATCATGGAAGCATAGAGATTTAACCCTTCCGGATTGTATCTCAAGCTTGACGTGCATTTTTGACATTTTAAAAAAAATTATCGTTCTGATTCTCAATTTTACTCCGAAAAATGAAATCAGTGACCAATTTCATTATAATGAGTTAAGCAAGTGCATATTTCTAGCGATTTTTACTTTTATCCTATATTTTGCTTCATATTTTAAATTAAATTTGTTCAGTTTATCTATAAACCTTAATTAATCATATGTATATCATTTACTTATGAGAATTGGGGAATATACTCTGATATGAATAGTTAATAAGCAAAAAATATATGGGATTTATCAACAATAACACTTATTGATATGGAGCAGTTACAATATAAGCTTTTTAGAAGAATGTTTGGCAGAAATTAGTAATAGTATTGATATAATAATAGTTTTTGAAATTTAGAAAATTATTTCAATCGATTTGCAGTAGTATTTTGTTTAATATCAATATTGATATACTATGCCAATTAATAATTTACTATTCTTAAATCAGAAATAAGAAAGGGCGAGAAGCGAGTATTGAACCTAGATGGAGTGGGTTGTAAAATACATTATTGAAAATAACCCAGAAGCACTTGTTGAACTATCTAAAATTCGTGTACGCACACATAGACAAATTCCTTGCGATTTTGAAGGCCAGATTTTAGATCTTCATCAGCCACTCCCACTGCATCTGGCTATATTTTTAGGGAGAAAAGAAATAATTGACGCTTTAATTTACGTTGGAGCAAACATTAACGAAATAGATCCAAATTCAAAATGCTCTCCACTTCATATCGCAGCATATGCTAATGACATTTATACTACAAGAGTACTTGTAAAGAAAAGGGCAAACGTAAACACTCTTAATGGTCAAAGAGAAATGCCATTACATATTGCTACTAAGTTAATGAATTATGAAATAGTTAAGATACTTGTTGATAATGGCGCTGATATTAACCAGCAAGATATACATGGCTACTCTCCATTATATCGTGCTATAGATAGAGGCGATACAAATGCAGTAACGTACTTTGTCAAGCATAAAGCACGAACAGATTTAGTTACTGAGAAAAAGCTCAATGCTTTAAATTTGGCTCAACAAAATTTCCAAAATTCAGTCATAGAAATATTAACAGGAAAATCACCTCTTCTCAAAGTCATTACAAATGAACTAATTGTAGGACCTTACGCTCGATTTGATATGTATCCTAATATTGACGACTTTCCAATACCAAGACTACCAGCTACAGATCCATTTGACGGACCTAAATATCCAGAGCGTGAATATAATGAGCCTGAAACAGATCATTACCAAGCACAACCAGATTATCGTGCTAGATTCTCAAACGACAACTACCGTGAACGTGAACCACAAGAGTTTGAGCGACCAAGAACCTATAATCAACATCAAAGGTTTACAGATCGAAATCTTGACAGAAATGATCAAGAACAGCCTCATAGAAACCAAGAATATTCTCAAAACAGATACCAAAATGATTACAATCGTGATTCAAACCAAAGAAGAAATGATTATCGTGAAAGAAATCAAAGAGATAATAATTCATCAAAATTCGAGCCATATACACCAGAAAGTTCTCAGACTAATCAGACAAAGCCACATCCACAAGAAAAACCACAACAAGTCCAAAATAAACCTTCGGAAAAAATTACGATCCAAGTTGGTACTCAAAAACAGGCTCCAAGGCCAGAACAAGTACAGAAAACTGAAAAACCGCGTTCTACTTTTGAAAAACCTCAAAAAGAAAAACCAATTTTACAAGTTGGCGTTCAAAAGCAAGTTCCTAAGCCACCAGCCCAACCAGTTAAAGAGAAGCCACAAAATGTTCCAAAACCATCTGATTTTGTCAATAATAAATCAGACCATCAAGAACATCGTCCTCCTAAGAAGAAAGAGAGGTCAACACCAGACTTTACAGAATACAGAGGCTCTGCAAACAAGAGATCTGTTCCTGACTTTGCCGAATACAGACCTCAACAAAACAAATTCAACATAGAAGTCAAGAAGAACGACACGTCCAAGCTTGAAATCGTCAAGTCAAGCTCCACCAATGATATTCCTAAAGAAGAGGATAATAAGGTTAGATCTGCTACAACAAAGTCCGGAAAGACAATTACAATTGAGAAACCAACTCTCATTGTACAGCCTAAAGCAGTTGAAGCTCCAAAGCCATCAATTTTAGAAAAATCTGCTTTCAAAATTCAATTTCCAGACAAAGGACAAAAACTTCAGATTCCTAAGCTAAACATTACTATAGCCGAAACAACAAAGAAAGAAGAGTTCATTTCTTGTCCAGCTTGTAGTTTCATTAGTGCCAAAATTGAATATCTTCTTGAACACTTCATCCAGAGCCATCACATGACCACTGACTTCGAAGACAAGTTCCTTTTATCGAAATCGACCAAGACACAAACAGCTGTCTGTTCAGTTTGCAACGGTGAGTTTCCAATTACTCAATTTCGAATCCATGTATGCAGAGACCACACAAATGATGTTCTACTGTTTATTGGTGATATGTCTAATACATCAAAGATCTCAGCTTTCTGCAGGAAACAACGCAAACCAGCCAAAAACGAAGAAGAAGAAAAAACAGAAAAAATTGAAAAACAAGATGAAACAAAAAGTGACGAAAAATCTGACGAATCAGAAGAACTCAGCGAAGTATCATCAGATGAAGAGCTCAGTGATGTTTCCAGTGGATATTCAGAAGACTCTGATGATCCAGAAGCCGAAGCATACATGGCATTTGTTACATCAACAATTGACATGAAAGGGTTGAGTGCTGCAAAGAAATCTGAGAAAGACAATGAAGAAATTGTTGTTCAGAAGCAAGAAGTGAAAGAAGAAGTCATCAATGAACCTGTCAAAGAAGAAATAGAAGCAGTAAATTATATCACTTTACTTGAAAATCTTGATTACGTTGAGAAATTGATGACATCAGCGAAATTCATCCAAATTAATCCTGTTCCTCACTGCTGTCTCTGCCAAAAGGATTTCACAAGCACAGTATCACTCATGAAACACTGTATGGATAACCACACACCGAAATTCACTCCACAATTCTTAAAAGTCCTTGATTTCATAATCCCTGGAATTACTTTTGAAAAAAGTGACAATGAATTATTAATTGACCAAAATTTGAACATTTCTTTGTGCTGTTATCCAACACTCAAATGTCCAACTAATCCACGTGTTGAGTATGAACTATCATTCCCTAATCTTTTGGCTTCTTTGATTGTTGAAGCTTTGGCAGCTGATAATCCACAACCAATGATTTTCCCGAAGTATTTCGACAACACAGTACTGATGTTGAAGATACCTGTTCAAACACCATTCGTTGTCACAACATATGAGAACGAAACAGTGTTTGGAATCGTATCAACTCCTCATCTTTCAGCTGATAAAATCAAAAACATTTTGAACCAAATTGCTGAATATCAGAGGAATCTTTCGGTATTGGCAATAAGATATACGAATATATCTGATGATGGAATGATAGATGATGACATCTACAACATCGCTAACATGCAGGGATGCCATGTTTTGAGATCTGAAATATCTTATGACCAAGATTTGAAGAGTTTCGATTCTTTCTTCTTCTGCAGTAGCTGGACAGAACAGACGAAAGAAAACATCAAGAATGATATAGGAGATATCTTCTATAACTGCGAAATTTGCCAATGCGGCAAATGTGGTCAAACATTTCGTCACAATGATGAAAGTTTATGCAACGATGGAGAGCCACACACAGCAGATAGCACTATTTCTAGTGCAGAATTCTTTGAATTCATAGTAGATGAATTTCAAGGTTAAATTTCAATTTTTTTTTCTAATCTAATTTACAGTAAAGTAATTATTATTTAAGGTAATTCCATTTCATGCGTCAAATCTTGAAATATGAGTAACATTATTATAAATTTTTTGATTATATGATAATTTCAAGTTTTCGGTTTGATTTCGGTACTATTTTACCAACAGTGAGGGAGTGCTTACTACGAGTGAACCCCGACTTTCAACCATTATTTCGGAAGATTGAAATACGCCTTCTAACTTAAATAGAAGAGATCACAAGTCCATGATACCATAAACGATCAGATTGCATGTATTAATTGAGCTTAATTATAAGGTCAGGATCCTCTGAAACAATTTTACAGAAATGTCATTTTTTTTCTTTTCGCCTAAAACTTTGATTATTTTTTATCTATATCTAAATGGCAACAAAAATAATTCCAGTCAGCTTCAGCTGATAGAATGTGAAGTGACACATTCAAAAAATATTTTATCATAATTCAATTTATCATTTATGGAAACATACACATACTAAAATCTAATCGATTTTGATAATATTCGCTCTCCTTCAGAATTTTTTTATCCTGGAGAAATGCATCGACTAATCTGAATCATGATTAGAAATACTCAATAAATCAAAAAAAAAAAAAAAAAAAAAAAAAAAGGAAGTGGGGCTTCCAGGCACTTCGTGCCCTCTAGCCCCGAAGATGTTTAGTATAAATGAAGTTCTTATATACGGGTCTTCCAGGAGCTTTTCACAAATTATATATGTTTTCATGTTTTGTCAAGACTTCTTCGTAAATGTTTTGTCAAGACTTCTTCGTAAATGTTTTGTCAAGACTTCTTCATCGTAACGAGTGTAAATGAACCAAAAATATATTTTATGTTAGAATGTTAGATCTAACACGTTTTCTAACATGTTTTCTAACATCGTAGAAAACTCATGATTTCATCGTAAATGTTTTGTCAAGACTTCTTCATCGTAAATGTTTTTAACTTCACTTAAAATGCCACGTAAGCTACGTAAGAATATACGTAAGAGGAAGAGAGCATTGAAACATCCAATAGTAAAACTGACACCACAACAACAGTTGCAACAACAAATGCTGAATGACCCCACTATGTTGCAACAAATGTCAAGCAATCCTATGCTTTTAAACCGAGTTGTTGGTGCACAGAGTGGAGGTTTAAGAGCGGCACTTTTAGCGAAAATGGCAGGCTATGGTGGAGCTGCAGACGGAACAGCATATAACCCTCAAAGTCAAATGAATTTGAGTTCACTCAAAAATCAAATAGCAGATGTCAAAAAGTCAAACATAGACATACAGAAGCAAATAGGTGAAAACGAAAAGAAACTAGAATATGACAGACACACAAAGAAACTCAATGAGTTAAACGTAGAGAAAAAGAAGAAAGAAGAACAACTGAAAGAACTAAGTACAGAGGAATATGCGAAAAAAGTGTCAGAAAAAGCAGCAGAAGTAGCAAAAATGGAACAAGATGTCATAAATTTGAAAAACCATACTACTCGATATAAAGTACTGAAAGATGAAGAGATAAAACAAAAAGCCCTGAAGACATATATGGATAGCGATGAGTATAAAAAGGAAGTTGAAGCAAATGTAAAGGCAGAAAAACTTTTACAGTTGCAAAACCAAACCGTACAGTATGAAAACTTAGCACAAGAAAGTAAAAATAACGACGCGGCTATGCAAAAGGCAATGAAAAGCGCAGAATATATAAAAGCTAACAATGACTGGTTAGATGCCCAAGCCAACGCTAAAGCAGCCCAACTCATAGGGTCAATAAGGACAAAAATACAAGCGGATGAAGACAGTTCAAATGAAGCTTTAACGAATGCTGACTTTAAGAACGCCTTCGAAGCTCTTCATAGTAAGGTGAAACAAGTGAACGACTTCTCATCTGGAAAGAAACTGAAGTCTGAAGGTTTCGACAACGAGTTAAGAGAAGTAGCACAAAATATGACGAAAATAACAGATGCAGCAACGAGACAGGCAGTTCAAAGTGCCTATGACGCCGTTAGAGCAACTGTTGTGAAAAGTCAAGAAAAAGAGTTACAACAGACCAAAACAGACCTAGTAAATGCTTTCTTAAAAACGAAAAGTCAGGTAGGACATTACGCTGCAGATGGAACATATGTGCCAGCTGGTGGAACTTATATACCACCAAACCCTCCAAGAGAAGCACCTGCACCAGGACTACCTAAAACATTTACATCGTCACATGGACATAGACACAGGCATGCACAACAACCACCTCCACAACCAGCACAGCAACCAACACAACAACCACAAACAGAGCAAGGACATAAAAGAAGTAGAGAACAAGGAAACCAAGAATTCTTAAAAATGCTTAAAGAAGAGTGTGGTTTCCCAGATACTGTTGACTTTAGTGACAGATATAAAGAAGCTATTGGAAAGTTCAAGGATGGAAATACTGACCCGAACCTATTTAGCTTTATGGCTCAGCACCAAAACGGATATAATCTCAAACCTGGAAAATACAAGCTCGCTAAGGGATATGATTTAATAGCATATCATCCAAATGACATGGATGAATTTACTCCGAGATATTTGATGTCAGAGCTAAATGACAATTCAACTTTCGTCATGAAACGCGTAAAAAATAGAGACGGAACGAAAGAACAAAAGCTTATGAATGCGGATGACGTAGATAGGGAAATTGTTGAAAACGGTCTCGGAATATATGAAATGCCAGCAGATGAGGTACAAGAAACTCCACAGGAAGAAGTTCAGATACAACCAGACATGGAAGAAATAGTTCAGCAACAACAGCTAGAAGAGCCTGAAGGAAACGAACAAGTCCCTCCTTTGGAAACTAACTTCACAGAACTAGATGAAGATTTGGAACAGCCGAAAAATCTTGACCCTCAACAAGAGTATGCGGAGAATATGGAATATTTCCAAGAGTCTAAAAAAAATTCGGCTGACATAGTAGAAGAATATCGAAAAATGTTTGCCGACATACAAAAGACTCCAGCACCAGATGAAAATATTCAGCATAGAATGGAAGCACTGAAAGAAAATGTACACAAATACAACAACCCTTTTTACTTACGAGCATTTAACGTTCAATCTTCGGATGAACTCGGTGAAAATAAAAGGTTAAATTTCAAGAAAACATATAGAAATGAAACATTGTTTAAAGTTCATTCAGAACCTAACCAAGATGGAAACAAACCTACTTTTGTTTCTGCAGACGATGGAACTACAATGAGATGGGGTCATAAAGCTAACCCGGATAGGTGGTTCATAAACTTACAACCACAATTCCAAGAAGTTGTAGACGCAATGGAAGTCAATGGTGAACCAGATATAGCTGGTATTTTAAGCGCGGCTTTAATGCCATTGAAAGATATGAAACATGCAGATATTTTGGACCAGTATGAAATGAACATGGCTGATGGAAATATAACACCTGACGTTCTAGAACATTTATCTCAAAGAACTACACAGAACCATAGAGATGGTATATTTGGTGAAGAGTTTAGAAAGAAAGTTAGGGAGAGCGAAGGAAGAGAACCTATTGTACATGACCTTGCAAACGAAAGTTTGCAAAATGTCATAAAAACTTACTTTGCAGACAATGAACCGAGAAGGGATGAATATTTAAGAAAACTCAAATGGACAGTACAAATGAAATGTTAGTATTAAAAACATGTTCCTTGACAAAATAAAACCAACTACAGAAATAAACGACGCAAGACTGAAAGATTGGGTAGAAGCTTTCCCATTCACAAAAGATATAGTTGGTAACATGGAAAGAAAACCAGAATGGCTACAAAAACATATATTTGGAAACGAGCATATTCCATATGGACAGGCACTGTTTGAAGAGCTTGAACCGGAAACTCAGGAAAGAGTCATGCAAACAATACGCGAAGACTCAAATACAGACTATGACAAACTCTTTCTAGGATATAGGTTACCTGAGATGGGCGACCAGAGCCAAAAGGCAAAAAGGACATGGGAAATTTACAACATACTAGATGAACATAATGCAAAGATGCAACAACTTCAAGCAGAGGGCAATGAAGGAAAAAGAAGAGTTAAAAACTCAGTCAGGAAGAAAGTAAAGCTTGGTCCACGTGGGTTCTATTATGACATATAAATCCAACTATTCTATATTTTTACTCATATGAAATGTACGCCGCTCAGAATATAACGCCAACAGTTTTGGATGCAATGAACGGAAATGTTTCCGAATGGTATAACGAATGCGACAATGCCATTAGAAGGTCAGAAATAGTTCTGGAACTTACGAATATACAACTGCTGTTTCTTATGGAAATGTAGGTGAGTTTGGAGAAGGTTCTTCAACAACAGTAGATATTGCTTGCGACAGGTTTCATATAATTTCTATTGACAACTCTTTCTTATACGTGGAACAAGACATTGAAATAAAACCTTCTGCCAAGTTGTCTGACAAGAAAGGTTGCAATGGAATTTCTATGTCGGATACCAATATGCTCCAGAAGTTTTCATGGATATAAGATATATTCTAACTCTGACTTAGTTCAAACAGTAACATGGGCAAACTATGAATGGTTCGCTTTAAGAAACTCAGTACAACCACAAGCTAGAGAACAAACAGACCAGTACGCCACCATTGAGAAAATAAGAAGACTTGACCCTAACGTTCCAGGAGTTTATGTTAACCTTTCTGGACAAACTGCAGCAGCAGTAACCAAAGTAAAATTGAAACTTAGAGTTCCTTTGTCATCTTTCCTCATCTTCAGGTTTTAAGATACTTGCCAAACTGGGCAGGAAAAATTCTATCGAACTTACTCCAAGCAAAAATAACTTAGTCATTGCACCAACGCAAGACCCATTCACTCTTACAGAAGTAGTGGAACAAATAAAATGTCATTCGCCGACTTTTGCAAAAACAAAGTTGACTTAGACTTTGGTTTCTCAAACCTCAACACTGAAGTAAACTATTATTTCAATGCTGCTGGAGATGCTTGGGACCCAGTTAAGTTC